GTCCTCTGCTCCAGACACACGCTGCACCCCGGGCACTGGGCTGGCCCCCCAGGCTCACCCCGGGGCGCTCGTGTGTGTGTGTGATGACACCCCTTCCAATTCACCCCGGCGCCCGCTGTTCGCTCGAAGGTCAACAGCTCACTCGTGGAAAACGGGCCGTGCGTGTCCCTGCCCGTGGGGGCCAGGTCCCTGCCCCGGAGGGCAGAGAGGGTGCCGCGGGCGGGGCTCCTGGCCCCGGGAGGCTGCCCGCCCAGGGGGCGGCGCCGTGCCTGCTGGTTCTCCTGTCCGAGCCCTTCCCAGGGCTTCCCAGAAGGGGAATCGTTTCTTCCGCGCAACCACGGGAACAGGGTCCTGCGGCCTCCCGGCCTGGACCTGGGCCAGCCCGAGGAGGCGGCAGCAGCCGTGAAAGCAGCGTGGAACTTTCCAGAACAGCAGTCCCGGGGGACAGAGGGCCCGGGGGTGGGGAGGGGCAGTCCAAGCCACCACCCAGCTCCAGCCCGAGCGCCTGCTCTGCTCGGCCCCACGCACTCCGCGCGAGGCTCCGAGGCTTCCGCTCAGACCCGGCAGCTGTGCCCTCAGCCCCCCTGGCCACAGTGTCGGGCCGCACAGCCAAGCCGGCGACGGTGGGGAGGCCCCGCGAGGCGCCGGCCGTCAGCCAGAAGGACAATCCTCTGACAGGAAGTGCGCGAGAAGCCCGCCCCCTGCAGACCCTGCGGCCACAGAGGGGGCAGGGTGAAGGGGACAAGGGGTGGGGTGGACTGTGGGGGTCCTCTGAGGCTGCCGGGAGAGGGGACCCCCTCCCTCTGCTGCTCCGGGAATGACTTCCCCAGCAGAGGCAGGGCAGGCCCAGGGCGCGCCCAGGGCGGCAGGGGGCAGGGCACTGCGTGTGCCCCTCCCCCCTCCGCCTTTCTGCCCCCCCCATTTTGTCTTTCTCCGTCTCTGCCCTCCCGCCTTCCTTCTCTCCCCCTCCCTCTGCCTGCCGCGTGCAAACAGCTTGAGGGAAATGTGGCGCGTTCGCCAACAGCCAGAGAGCACCGCACCTCATCTTTGGGGGGTGTCACCTGCCACGCAGCAGGGCCACCGGCGGGACCCGTTTCCTGTCCGGACTGCGGACACTGGGGTGCGCCCCACAGCTGTCGTGGGGCGCCCGTCCCCAGACAGCAGGGTGCTCCCCCTGCTATGTGACGCTGACGGAGCGCCGGGAACCCCGCCGGGGTGGCGAGGCCGGCGTTCCCGTCGGCACCGGTGCTGGTGAACCGTGCGGGGCCCACCGCCAGCAGGGCTGCAGTCTGCTGCCGTGGGGACGGAAACCGGGCGGTCCGGCGGGTGCGCCCGAGCCAGGATCCCGCAGGGTGGGGCACACCTGGCCGTCCCACGAGGGCCTAGGAACGTTCCCGCAGAAACGCATCTGGTGGGCGCCGGGCGCCTGGCCGTGCGGGCAACAGAGCGTCCGAGGCCGGCAGATCACGCCCCGCCGGGGATGCGGGAGACTCCCCAGGGGCCGCGGGCTGCGGTGTGAAGGTCTGTGTGCCCCTCGGGTCCACCTGCTGGAATCCTAGCCCCCGATGGCGGCCCCATTGGAGGCGGCGCCTTCGGGAGCGTCTGTCCTCCTGAAGGGGATCCGAGCTTCGTAAGGGGGGCTCCGGGAGCCCCCGCCCCTTCCACCGAGTGCAGGCAACGAACCGGGGAGAGGTCCCCACCGCGGCGTGACTGTGCGGCCTTCTCGGCCTTCCGGCCTCCGGAGCCGCCGCAGACCCACCTGCTGTTCCTCGTGGGTGGCATTGTGTCGCAGCGGCTGACGTGACAGGGACAGCGTGCGTCCAGGGGCAGCGGTGGGCCCGGGAGCAGCCGGCTCACCCCGTGACCCTGGACAGGCCTGGTCTCCTTCTGAGCCTCACGTGGAGTGGGGGGTGGTCGGTAAGGGTGTCCGCTGGAGCAGCTGGAAAGGTCAAGGGGCGCGTGCAGGTCACGGAGGGCGTGCGGGCGCCGCGGCTGCCCGTCGGGACCGTGGCGGCCATGCGCAGCTGCACACAGGAGCCCCGGCCTCCAGGGCGGCCCTGTGCACACCGGGATTTAGACTCCTCCCCACCCCGGCACCCGCGGTGCCGGCCGGCGCCTCGGGCCCCATGTCCCGGACGCGGTCCTGCTCCAACGATCCACGCCATGTGCCTGGAAACGCTGGGCAGCCTCCTGGATCCGCTTAGACTCGCCCGAGGCTTCCCGGAACCCTTCCCAAGGCGTCATTCACAGCGGCGTCTGTCCTGCGGAACCACTGGCCGCAGCCCCTGGGGAGGCCTTCGCTGAGTGGAGTGGCTGCCCTCCACTGCCCAGCGGGCGCAAGCAGCCGGGCGCGGCCACGGCACGCCGGTGCAGCCCCGTCCCGTCCCCACGCCGCACCTGGGGTGGGGTGGGAGCCGTGTGTCCGTTCAACTCTGTGAACATGGACAAGTGGTGAAGGGGCCGTGTCTGGGAGGCAAAGGCGTGGGGGGGGGCAGCTTTGCCCCCCCATTGCTCTCAAGGTCTCTGACCTCCCCGGTCCGCTCAGCCCCCAGGGAGGCAGGGGTCCCCAGGCTTGGGGCACGTGTGACAAGCCCAGTGGGAACCGCATTGTTAAAAAGCTGCTTGTCAGGTGGCTTTAGGGAGCACCGGAGCCCTTTCCGCCGCCCCCCCCCAACATGACTGTGAGCCCAGGAGCGATAGAATTGGGGGGGGTCTCAGACCTCCAGGATGGCCCTGACTGCCTGTCTCCTGGACGGCGGGAGGGCCTCCCTGGGCCGGGGGGTCACTGATGGCGGCCCAGTGGCCCATCCGGTCTCCCCCGCTGAGAAGGGAGCGGCCGGCCGAGATGCCCTCCCCACACTCAGAGCGCCCGCCGCCGAGTCCCCGTGGGACGCGGGGGACGTGCAGTCAAGCAGAAGCTCTTCGCGACCGGGAGAGCGTTTTCCCGTGCACCTGCCCGCCGGCGGTGTCGCCTTCCCGGTGTGCACCCAGTGGCATTTCCATACCCCATGAGGAAACCCCCACAGGAACACCCACGGGATCTCCTGACTGTGGTCTTTAGCCACAAGCAGCTCTGAAGAGAGGTGGGGGGATCCCTGGGGGCACGGAGCCCCGCCCCCGCCGCCCCCCTCAGCACCGGTCTCGCGGCCGAGGGTCCTCTCTGGGCGCATTAGTCTGGTGCCCAGCGGGGAGGACAAGGACCGGCACTCTCACGGGGCGGGGTCCACGCTGGCTCCTGCCGGGACTACCCGGTCCGCACAGCACCCGGAGAGGAAGGTCACTATCATTAGACCCATTTTAGGGGTGGGGAAACTGAGTCACGGAGGGCTGGTTCCCTTGGCCAGGGTCCCATAGCCAGCAAGCGGCAGAGGCAGGGCCCTGACCCCAGGCTCCCCGGCGCCGGCGTGGGGGCACCGAGGAGCCGACCCGAGGTGCCTTTCTCCAGCGCGTCTTTGATTGGTCGTGAGAAAGTGTCCGATCACGCCGGTGTCTGGCTGTGGGACGCGCCGGGACCTGCTGCTATGGGGGGGGTCACATCTGCCCTGGGTTTAGGGCCAGCTGCGTCCCTGTGGGGACTTGGTCTGGGGTCGCAGCCCGCTGTACCTTGCATCTGGCACTTCAGTGGTAAATATCTGTGGCTCCTGCGCCGACCGCCTGAGGGTTTTGTCGGTTGGAGTGGGCTGGATTGGATCCCAAGCTAGGTGGTCGCTGCCTCTTCCGCGGGGGAAAGTGGCGTGAGCTGCCCGTGCGTTCGCGGCTGGAGCGCGGGGCAGCCGGGAGCGCGGTGGGCCCGGGAGGAGGGGGCGGGGCGCAGCCGGCCGCCGGCGAGCTCGCAGTACCGGCGCGCGCTGGGAGAGGGCGCCCTTCCCCAACAGTTCAATCGGTGGCTCCCAGCCCGGCCGCTGCCGCCGATCCTGGGTAAGAATCCGGGAAAACAAATCGCCGAAACCCCGTCTGCTGGCGGATCTCACGCCCAGCGCTCCCGCCAGGGCCATCCCCGCGGTAACCGGGTCCGCTCTAGAAGTAGGGGCCGAGCCCCGAGGTGGTGCCCCTGGCAGGGGGCACCGGGAAGGCCGGTTCCCCCGCCCCTCCGACGTCCACCCAGGACGGGAGGTGCATTTGCACCGGCGGAGCGTTCAGCTGGGGGCCTGCAGGAAAACCTCCGGCCGCCTTTAGAAGAAACAACCCCCATGACGGTGTTTGACCCGGTCACCCTGAGCCCCCAAGGAGACGCCCGCGTCCCCCTGCTGAAGCCGCAGAGGGCTGGCGGCTGCGGCGGGCCTGCCCTGCCCCCTGCCTGGGCACGCGGACTGGGGCCCCAGCCCAGCCCCCAACCACAGACCCCGGGCCCCACCACCACACCGCTGGTGGGCGGGTCGGTGTAGCGCCCCCGGCTGGGAGTGCTTGAGCGCCCAGCCCACAGCCAGCTCCGACTTGGTGTGTGCTCGCCCCGCCACCCGCACCCAGGAGCCCACGGGTGGGTGCCCGCGTGGGCAGAAGAACCCTTCTCCCCAGGGGCCTTCCAGCACCTGGCTGCCCAGGGCTCCCGAGAGGTTCTTTCCCTTCACACCCCGTCCGCCTCCCGCAGCGCTGGGCTGCCTTTGGAGCGGGCTAGTAGCTCGCCCTCCGGACCGCCGGGAGCCTGGAGCTCCCCTGAACGCGGTCCCCAGCAGCGGGCCCTGGAGGAAGTGTGGTGTCTGAGGTCCCGGCCGGGTCCGCCCGGCTCGACCCGGCTGGAGGGCGGCGTGCGGGGGGGAGGGGGCGGCCCATCAGCGCAGCTAAGCCGCGAGCGGACTTTTACTATTTCGGGGGCGGCGGTCTGTCTGTCTTCCACGGTCACCCCATCCCAGCTCCTGGCGACTGAGGTTTGCAGACCTAACAGCCAGCAGCCAGGGGGCGGCGGGGAGCCGGAGCCGGGAGGAAAAATCCACCCATTTCCTGGGCAGATTGCGTCGCCGGCCTTGTCCCCGCCTCCCGGCCCCGGCCCCCGCGCGCGGTCCGCCTGGCGCTCAGAGTCGAGCCGGCGGCCCTTCCCGGCGGAGGCAGGGCGCGGAGTGGCGCGGAGGGCGCGGCGGCACCGGTGCCCGCACCGCTGCGGGGCGCGCAGAGGCCGCCGGCGGCCCTTCTCCTTGCTCCCGGAGGCGGCGAACCATGGCCGGGGAGCGCGGGGCGGCGGCGGGCGTGCGGCGGCGGGCCGAGGGGGCGCGGGGACACGGCCGGGCGCCCCTGCCCGCCGCGGTGCCCGCCGCCTGAGGCTGCCCGGGGGCGCGGAGCCGGCGCGGCGCGGGCGCAGGAGGCGACTCCAGGCGCGATGTCGGTGCCGCTACTCAAGATCGGGGTCGTGCTGAGCACCATGGCCATGATCACCAACTGGATGTCCCAGACGCTGCCCTCGCTCGTGGGCCTCAACACCACCCGGCTCTCGGCGGCCCGGGGCGGGACGCTGGACCGCAGCACCGGTGTAAGTGCGCCCGCCGCCCGCCCTCGCGGCCCCTCCCTCGCGCCCCTTCCCGACCCCAACCCAGGGCTGGGCGGACGCCGCGGGGGAGCCGGGCACGGGGCGGGGTGTGGGCAGGGGTCAGGGGGCGGCTCCTCCGCGCTGCAGTGGCGACCCTGCTCCCCACGCGCCCGGCCGGCCACTCCCGCCGGTGTCCCCCCACACTCCGGCCACGCTTCCCTGCTTTACCCGGTCCCCTCTCAAGGTGGGGGGTGCCGGCCCCGGGACTCACTCAGGCTTGGAGTCCTCACTCAACTAATGACAAGTTCCTCCTTGGTAAGGTTAGGGCTCCGAGGCAGGGACTTGGGGACTTGTCCAAGGTCACTGGGCAAGTGAGGGCTGGAGACGCAGCCGCTCCACCCTGGTCTGGCTGGATCCGCCCAGGGATCCCAGCGAAGCCCGCCCTACTTTGTAAAAGCCGGACTCGACCGGCCTGGCCCCGGGCTGGGGAGCTGGTGCCCTCGGCCGCCTGCGCCTCCCGGAGTCCCCAGGCGCCTCCCCCTCCCTACGCCCACCAGAAGGTCCGGCCAGAAAGGGTGCAGAGGGGCCCGGGCCAGGCCCGTGGCCGCCCCTGGGGGCGGAGCTCGCCCCGCGCCGTCCGCCCCGCGCCCCCTCCCGCCCCGCCTCTCTTCTCCAGGCCTGGGGGTGGGGGCGCGCCCGGCTGCTCCTGGGCAGGGCTGACTTGGCGGTGGCGGAGCGCGACCACCGTGAGCCCCGGGCCGAGGCCCCAAGGAGGGGTGCGCCCGGCCGGCGGGCCAGCCAGCGGAAAGGAGAGGTGAAGGACACGGGCTCCCGCGCGCCTTTGTGGCCGTGGAGGGCGCAGAGCTCTGGGAGGAGGCCTCCCCGGGACCCCTCCTGAGACGCGGATCGCCTCACCTGACGTGGCAGGAGCCGCACCTACCGCCTCCTTCACAAAGACTTGGCTCCGCCTCTGGGTCCAGAGCGGCTGGGCGGGAGATGAATGAAGTGAAATGTATCCCCACTCTAATTCCTCCCCACCCAACTGTCAGGTCCCGTGCTAAAAATAGCTGCGGTGACCTGAGGGCACTGGGCAGGCTGCAGGGGCCTCCGGAAGGGACCGGGGCTGTGCTCTGGGCGTGTGTCAGACTTCCGCCCCGCGTCCCCGGCGGTCAGGGCCACCTGAGCTGGGCTGCGAGGTGACACCGGCCGGCCGTTCGCAGTTCTGGTCTCCCGGTAGCCCTTGGGCACACCTCAGGACTGGGTGTGACACCCGGCACAGCCTGCCACCAGAAACTTGGGTGTTGGTGCCATCCACCAAATGGCTGGTGGGTGGCAGCTCGCGCCGAGGTGGCCGCCCGGTGTTTTCTGGGGCGGGCTGTGCCGGGCGGCCAGTGGGGAGACCGTGGGGCGCGGTGCGGCTCCCCGCTCCGGGCTGACAGGCTGCTGGGTCCTGGCTGTTAGCAGCGTGCCAGCAGGCCCTCCGTCTCCGGAGCAGCCAAGGGAGGCTGCGCCACCCCCCACCCCCACCCCCCAGCACCCGCCTTGGGGGGAAGAGATCCTATTTCCCAGTCCCGTGCCCGTGCCCGGCATGAGTCAAGCAGCCGGCCCTTCCTGCCTCCCTCCCCCGCAGCCTCGGCCTGCGCCCGCCCCTCCCCCCTCCACCTCGCGGCCCGCTTGGTCACACGCCAAAACTCCAATAACCCTTGCATTTAAAAAAAAACTGAAAGAGTTGTGCCCGTTTGGCTCCCTTCCAGCCCTGGGGCCCCTGAGGGGAGACCGTCTCTTTGTTCTCGGGGACCCCTTCCCTCCCCCAGGTCAGAACCTGTCTAGAGATCAGTTCCCTCTGCTTCTCCCCCCGCCCCCGCACCCCGGGGCAGGGGGCCGGGGTGGCCAGCCTTGCCCATGCCCTGCCCCATGGCTCACTTTGTCTCCCTCCCCTCCCCGCCCCTCCCCCGCCTCCAGGTGCTGCCCACCAACCCCGAGGAGAGCTGGCAGGTGTACAGCTCCGCCCAGGACAGCGAGGGCCGGTGCATCTGCACGGTGGTGGCCCCCCAGCAGACCATGTGCTCGCGGGACGCCCGCACCAAACAGCTGAGGCAGCTGCTGGAGAAGGTGAGTCTGTGCGGGCCGCGTGCATGCCCACACGTGTGCGTGCGTGTGTGCGGGGGCGCAAGCGTGCATTTGCACACGGACTCCGAGGCGTGGCAGCCTGCAGGGTCCGTCCCAGCTCCGCCGCCTCACCGTCTGCCGCGGAGGACGGCCGGGAATGAGGGGGTGGCCGGGGGGAGATGCCCCAAGGGGGGCCCAGGGCGATGCGCTGGCCCCCCCCCAGGTGCAGGTGCTGTCTCTCCCAGGGGTGCCCTCCCGCTGCAGTCCTGGGGGCTCCTCCTGAGCAGCTCCCGGGGGCCCAGGGGCGCACGGCCACTTGGATTTTACCCTAGGGGACTTGTTGCCCGGCCTGCCTTTGCGTGGTTGGAGGTGGCTGTGCCCCGCCGTGGGCGCAGGAGTCCTTGGTGCGGGAGTAGACTGAGTTGCCCCCTTTGTCCCCCGCCCGAGGACAGCACAGAGCCGTTCCCATCCACGTGTTCAACCCCTCGCTTCACGCATCTTCGCGAGAGCCGTGTGACGTGCATGAGATTTCCGCCCCGTTTCAGGAAGTGGACATTCGGGTCCGGGGAGGGGGGCTGACTCACCCCACACAGACAGCTGCTTAGCGGCGGGGGGCGCTCACACCCGGGTCCCGGCTGCCCACAGCCCAGGTGGCCTCTGCCCCACAGCGGCGGCCGCTCTGGGCGGCAGGACCACCTCGGCTCCTGGCGCATTCCGCCCCAAGAGCCCTGGACGCTCGTATCCCCAGTGTCGGGGCCCCCTGGGAGCTCCCGAGGGGGGCGGGAGTGGGTGGGCCCTTCTGTCCCGCTCCCCACCCTGCCCCAAGGACCGGAGGCCCGCACACCGTGAGAGAGCGGGGCCACAGCACACACGGCTCACACCGCACAGCAACACCACACAGATGGATCACACCCGCACACAGGCACTCACACACACGCACACACACCACACACCCTCCACACACAGAGACTCAGGTCACAACCTCACACAGGCGCTCACACACACCCACCACACACAAATGCACGCACCTCATGTACACACCAACACACACACACGGCAGCAAAGCCGTGGCTCTCCCTTGGGTGGGCACAGGACAGCAGCCTTCAGTGGGGGCGGGCCGGGCAGAGCAGGTCCCCAGCGGGTCCCCTCCCTGGCCACCGTGGAGGGCGCCGGAGGGGCCCCGGTGCCTCTGGCAGGCGGTGGCACGGCTGCGGCCGCGGTGGCACGGGCCCCTGAGGCCTGCTCCCCTCGAAGGGGCTGTGTCTGTGTCCATTAGCCACCGAGCGAGTCGTTTAGAAAGATTGAATGTGACCGCGCTTACTAGATCCCACGGACATTCATTAACGGCAAACAAGACGCAAGGCCTAATTGAGCCTTGAATTATTCAGAACTGCGGAGGGAGGGGGGAGCCTGGCGGGGCCTGGGGGGCTGCGGGGGCAGCGGGTCGCTGAGACCAGGACCTCCAGCTCCCAGGAGGGGACGGAAAGCCGGTACGGGGCTTCCAGAAGGCTCCGGGAGCCCTGGACCGCCGGCCTGGGAGCGCCCCTTCCCGCCTGCTCACGGGCCCGGCGTCAGCGCGGAAACAGGGCCGCCCGGTCCACAGCCGGGCAGGCGCCTCGCTCTGCTCGGCGGGGCAGAAGCCATTTGCTGCGAGAACGGTCCGGCGCTCTGCTGGGAGGGGGCGGGGCTGCCATCTGCTCCTCCTCCGCCGCTGCTCAGCCAGGCTCCCGCCACCCTCCTCTTCCCTTGGGTGGGGGCGGGGGGCGGGGGGCAGAGCCGGGCGCACCTGGGGGCTGCCGTGGGGATGAGTCCCAGTGATGGGGAGACCCCCGCCCCATGTCCGCACAGCGGCTCCAGGTGGGCCTGGGTCCCGCACCCAGCGGCTCTGGCTGTCGTCCGCCCGGAGTCCTGGGGAGGCTCCGGGGTCAGGGTGGAGGACCACTGGGGCACGGAGCACGGAAGGGGCAGGGCCCTGCGCTTTGCAGATGCGCCCAGGCCGGACCCTGAGCTTGACGGGGTGGGCTGGGCGGTGAGGCCAGGCCTGGGGCCTCGGCGGACCGCTGTGTGAGGGCAGAGCAGTTGCTCCGCCTCTCTGAGCCTGGACTCTTAGACTCGAAACGGCGCCCTCCTCCCAGGGCGAGATAAACCGCTGACGGGCTCAGCGAGTGGGACACATCCCATCAATATTAGCAATTAGTTATCCCCCCCGGGGCTGGGTGTGTCCGCACCCCACCCCCGACGCTGTCAGAGACGGGCCTGCCATCCTCCACCTCCTCCCGGGCCAGAGGACCCCGCAGCTGGGGTCACAGGTGTGACGGAGGCCTGGGCCCCCTCCCTCGGCGGGTCTCCCGCCCAACAAAGTGGTTGCGACAGGTGTGCAGGCTGCTGCTGTGCAGGCACTGTGCCAGCGAGGTGGCGTGGTTTCCCAGGTGTACGCAGCCACTTCAGGCTCTGTGTGCATCAGGGAGGACTCCCTGGAGGCGGTGCCGTTTGAGCTGGGCCTTGAAGGGCCAAGGAAAGCAAACGTGACCACTTTTCTCAGAAGAATTGCCGCCGTTGTGCGCAGGGACAGAATAGCAGAGGGAGATGAGAGGTAATGGAGCGGGTGTATCGTAGCTCCCACGAGGCGCCCGGACAGAAAGGGTCGGAGGGAGTCTGGCTCCCGTACTGTATCCTGCCCCTGGGGTTTTCGGCGGAATCCGTGCGCGTTACTTTCGAGTAACAAGTCATAAAGTCCCTGGCGTTTTTAAGTGCGTGACGAACACCACCAGTTTCCTCTCGCCGAGAGACTTTCGCTTGTCTCTTATTTTATTTTACTTTATTTTCCGGGGCTGGGGTGCAGTAGGAAATGGAAACCACACCGCCAGGCAGAGCTGAGCCTCAGACCCCAACGACCGCGTTCCTGAAAGGGGGGGTATTTCCAAAATCAGCAGAAACTCAGAAAGGACGGTTTGCGGCTGGCGGGGAGGTCCCTTCGTCCCCCTGGGCCGGACCGGACCCTGGGCAGACACTCGCCCGCCGCCCGCCGCCGCGACCTGGCGGAGCCTCGCCCCGCCACCCCTGTGCTCCCGCCCGGAATCACAAGCCGGCTTCCTAAAAATAACGAGCAGGTGGCTGCGCAGAAACGGGTTATCTTTGGAGCTCCCTGGGACCCTGTTGAATATTAAAGTTCCATCTCGAGGCGAGACTCCGTTCAGACCTGCCTGTGAGGGTGTAGAACAGCGATTCTTCATTTGCTGAGTGATTGATTCCTGACTCCGGCCCCGAACGCGCCTGTTTGCAGAGCGGGCGTCTCCCTGTGATGTCGCCGGGTGTGATGGATGGCGCTCGGGCGGGGGCGGGCAGGAGGGCCTGCCGCCAGGGCCGACAGCGCGGCCCCTGCTCCTGCGTCCCCCCCCCCCCGCGTGCACCCCCGACCGACTACGTGAGGCCCCCGGTGAGGCTCAGGGGGGCAAGAGAAGCTGCACCCGCGCTGGGGGGGTGGGGTGGGGAGGTGGGGGCCGCCCTCATGGGTGTTCCTCCTCACGGGTGTCTCTGCCTAACCGATGTCACCCTGCAGAGGAGAGTAGGGGCCGCTCCCGAAAAGGAAGGGAGAATTCGCCCACAGCCGTCAGCCTGGACCTGGGGCTCCCCCGGCCCATGCAGAGCTGGGGCTGGGCCCCGGTTTGCACCCCAGTTGGGCGCGCACGCAGGGACGGGGTGAGGGAAGCGTCACCAAACCAATGGGCTGCGTTTGCAGAGCCCGTGGTCCCCACAACCCCCAGTGTGGCGGCCATGTGGAGAGGCCACTGCCGCGGACTGGGAGGCGGGTCAGATCGGCGGGCGCCTGCCACGGCTCCGTCCTTGAACCCGTTGCCTTTTTGACAGGTGCAAAACATGTCCCAGTCCATAGAGGTCCTGGACCGGCGGACTCAGAGGGACTTGCAGTATGTGGAGAAGATGGAGAACCAGATGAAAGGGCTGGAGTCCAAGTTCAAACAGGTGGAGGAGAGTCATAAGCAACACCTGGCCAGGCAGTTCAAGGTACGTGTGTTCCTCCCCCTCCGAGACGGGGTTGTCCCCCTCCAGGCCCCCCCTTTCCCTCTAGAAGTAGCAATTGCCCGTGTGGGGGGCGGGTGGCCAGCAAGGCTTGCTCTCTGCCGTCCTTGGAAAGGGGCGCACCGCCCTCACCCTGAGGGGGAGGCCAGGGCCGTGGCTGCCTGCGCCTAGGGGCTTCTGCAGCCGAGGTGAGTCCCGGGCCCCGAGCTCCTCCAGCCAAGTCCCGGATTAGCTGGGGGAGGGGCGTCGTCCGACCCTGTCCTTCCACGGCCGCCGCAGGTAACACCCGTTAGCTGAGGATTAGCTTCATTGATCAGAGCCATTTCTGAGCTGGGCTCACTCAGGGCCGTTTTTCACATCTGACCTAATTTGGCTGTGACACGGCTCACTGTAGCGTCACAGGGAAGAGAGAGAGAGAGACACCAGCATCTTTCTCGCTCTGTGGTAAGTGCTCCTCCTCTGCAGACAGCTCAGCGTCTGAAAGCCACAGTTGGCCCTGAAATTACCTATATACGTACGGACAAGTATGTATATATTCGTATGCCCAGAGTGAATGCAGCCTCCAAATTACTAAGCTGAGAAGGGGTATGCACTTTCGTTAAGGTATACATGCATGCTCATGAGCACTCGGGCCCGGATGTAAATGAGCGGCTCCGGCAGCCGCCCCGCTCGGCCGAAACCGCTGACGCTGCTGCCGCCGCCTTCGGGGCCCTTTCCCTGCCAGCGCTTCCCTTTGATGTGCTCCTGCGTGAAGCGCGAGAGCGAATTCGCTCTTAAAGCCGTACCTGCCGTAGACCCAATGGCAAGCTAATGAAGTTATGAGTCTGCGTTATGAATAAAACAACAGCAGGCCCGCTCCCGTGCAGGAGGAAGGCGGGCGGTCCAGCCGGTCGGAGGCAGGCGGGCGCCCCGTCCTTGCCCCTGACCGGCCACGGGAGCCATCCCGGAAAGAGACGCTGACCCGCCCGACCACAGAGAGTTTGTGTCTCTCCCCGAAAGGCCGGCACCCCGCTCCTCCGGGGTAGCGTCAGGGTCCTTCAAAGGTGAGGGTGCCTCCCGCCGCCAGGGCCAGCTCCCCGGCCCGGGCACGGCCGCCGGCCACTCGGCCGTCTCTCCCCTGTCCCCCAGATTCCGGGCACAGTGCCCCTGGGGGGGGGGCGGGGAGACGCAAGCCTTGGCCTGGCACCGCGCCCTCGTGGCGTTAAGCACGTCCCCGGCAGTCGTGGCCAGGGAGTCTCCGCCTCCGTCGGGGCCGCGGAGAGTGTCTGGACAAACGCTAGCACGGAAGTGTGACTTTTTTAAGTGGCCGTGAGCGTCTCTGTCTGTGAGTGGCTGGCTGTGTGCAGCAGGCAGGCCGGCCGGGCAGCTCTTCAACGGTATTTCGTTTTCTTGCTTGCAGGGCTAACCTAAAAGCGTTTTTTCAAATGCCGCGGTGACTGAAGACGCGTGTGTCCGTGTCCCCATGAAAGAGGGCCAGACAGCTTTTTGCACCCTGCATTTTTACTCTTACTTTCCGACACTTAGCGCCATTTCACTAAGGAACCTTGACACCGACCGCCACCCTCTTTTGCATGCGACTCTAGATGCATCCCGTGAGCCCTTTGAACCCTGCCGATGCATTTTTTTGAACACGAAAAGAGAGAGAAAAAAAAAAACTTTGTGTATGTGACTCAAAGCATGTAACCTTAAGATGTTGCATTCTACCTTGACAATAAAGACCTTCCCAAAGATGTTGGTGTTCCGAAGACTGTTTAATGTGCTCTCCTAACTCGGTGGGACCGGACGGTCCAGAGCCGTGCCTGAGGCGGGAGCGCGCACGCAACCGCGCCCGCGCCCCGGGGGGCGGCCAGGCCCAGGCAGGGTGTGACGAGTTTTTGCACGCATCGCACTGAACCCAGCTTATTTTAACCTTGCAGGCGATAAAAGCGAAAATGGATGAACTTAGGCCTTTGATACCTGTGTTGGAAGAGTACAAGGCCGATGCCAAATTGGTTTTGCAGTTTAAGGAGGAGGTCCAGAATCTGACGTCAGTGCTTAACGAGCTGCAAGAGGAAATTGGCGCCTATGACTACGATGAGCTGCAGAGCCGAGTGTCCAATCTTGAAGAGCGGCTCCGTGCGTGCATGCAAAAGCTAGGTAGGCCCAGCACCCTGCGGGGCGGGGCGGGGCGGGGCGCGGCGCGGCTCCGCCCACCGCGGCCCCGCCCACCGCGGCCCCGCCTGCTGCGGGGCGTGGTGCTGAAGTGGACAGCGCCCGCCTGGCTTCCGGAGGAGCCGCGGGCCGGCTAGGGCTCGGGGGCAGGGCCACCAGGACCGAGCAGAGGCGCGCACGCCGCACCCGAGTGAGCGCAGGACCCCGCCCTGCGCGGAGGCCAGCCCCCAGAGCCCCGCTGAGCTGCACATCCGGGACAAATAGGTTGATGTTAGATGTCACAGAACCACCGGAAGAGTGTGTGTGCACGCGTGCGTGCGTGTGTGTGGGGGTGAGTTCTTAAGACACGAGGTGCTTAGGGCTGGACGAGGACACCTCAGATTCCCTCCAGGTCGAGGACGAGGGCTGGGGAGGCTCAGGCGCGGCACCAAGCGTAGAAAAGGGCACATCGGGTCACACCGCCGTGGGACGGGTCCCATCCTGGGAGGGTGGAACCTGGGAGCCCCACCCTCTGAGCTCCGTTTGTGTTTTCCAAAAGGCCCCGCAACGTGGGGCGGCCCCTCTGGGTTTTTCCTGGTGCTGGAACACCCACCTGCCGCGTGCACCTTCCTGTTAACCGCTCGGACAGACCTCCACGTTGGTGTCTGAGTCCACTCCCCTGCAGCGCCCCTGAAATCCCGGTTCCCCCGCGAGGCTTTCTTCGTACAGCTGAGCCGGCCCTCCGCGCCCCCGGCTGTAAGACGAAGGTCCCTCGTTTCCAGAGTATCTTTCGTAGAGCAACTCGGGGCGCCTCTGCTTCAGGCAGGAACCACCCTTTGGCTTTTCTTTGATGTTCTAACTCGGGTCCCTTTTCGTCCACCCCACCCACCCGCACCCGCTCCACGTCCCTTACTATGGGCTCAGCTTCTCTCCCAGAAGAAGGGCCGGGCCCAGGTCAGTGGGGGAGGGAGAACCAGCCCCGGGCCAGGGCGTCCAGCCGGCCGGCCTGCCCTCCCTTTGAGCGGCTCCCCGAGTCCAGATGACCTTCAACGCTTTTAAGACCCCAGCTCCTGAGAAAGCCTGTGGCGTGTTGGCGTGAAGAGTGAATGCGTGTTAATGAGTGAGTGTCTCCTGCGTGTTGTCAGAGACAGGCCTCCTGGTGCCCCAGTGCCGGCGTGCAAGGGGCTCGGTGCCGGGGACAGTCTCGGGGGGCTGTGGGCTGCACGGCCTCTGCCAGCTGCCCAGTCCACCTTGGCATTCCCGGAATGTGCGTGATGCTGGACGTGCCAGTGGGTGCGGGGCCATGTCCGTGGCGACGGGCTGTGCGGTCATCTCTGTCAGGCACGGTGTTTGGCCGGCTGCCCACGATGGCCCTGAGCTCCCTGTCACCACTGTCTCTCCCAGACCCTTCTCACCCTTTCACCGTGGGGTCTCTCTTGGGCCCTGAAGAACCCAGAGCGGGGAGGGAGGGTCCGTATTTATAATGTTTTGCCCCCAAAACACCCCCCTCCCGGTATTCAGGCTGGGTATACCAGGGAGAAGACAAGGAAAAACCTCCGTAGTTTGCAATGACCGGGTCCAGGCGCAAGAGGGAAATTCAGGGCAACAGGTTACAAATGACAAGCCCTGAAGGGCCTCTCAGAGGGGCGCACTGCCCCTCCCGGGACGAGCAGTCTCGCCACCCGGGCCGGGCCCGGTTTCAGAAGCTGGGTGAGTCCTCCTGCTGGCCCAGGGTCCTGGGCCTGTCATGCGGTCGCCCTCGGGCTGCTAAACGGCTCACTGGGGAGTAAGGAGAGGGTGGCTGGGCCCTCAGGGCCCGGTTCTCCCTGCAGCGGGGCCACCCCGCGACCGGCCCTCTGGGTTCGTGCTCTCTTCCAAAGCCTGGACGTGCAGGCAGACCTGCTGAGCCAGGGTCTGCGGCCGGGGCCCGGGGTCCGCATGGAGGCAGCGCCAGGTGGACTCAGATGAACGGAACCGGGAGACCCCCATCTGGGGGAGGCAGCCGGTGCCGCCGGGGACCGGCTCGGGCTTCCCGCCTCTCTCCATCTGTAGAACGAAGGTGGCGGGGTCGCTGCACCCCGGGGTCACGGTGCGTCCACGGGTGTCATTCGCATCACATGCTCCACACTGTCATCCCCACGGCACAGGTGGTAGGGCAGGTGGGTAGGCAGACGGGTGGCTAGGTAGATGCATGCATGGACAGACAGACAGACGGTAGAGGGTCTATAGACAGATGCACAGACAGATGACGGGCGGGCTGACTGACAGGTCCAGCAGCTGCCGCTGCTTCCCCGTCCTGGGTCTCTGTTCACGCTCAGCAACTTAACTCCCCACTGGGTGCCCCGTGGCCGCTCCGTGGCCGCCCCGTGGCCGCTCCGTGCGGCCTTTATGTGAGCCTCGCAAGTGGGCCGCGTCTGAGCCGCCTGTCTCCCTGCCTGGGGGTCGCCACAAGCCCAGAACCGCGACGGCAGCCCTCAGCCACGGAGCCTGTGCCGGCAGCTGTCCCCCGCGGGCAGATGTAGCTGTGGTGGCCGCAGGCGGGGGTGGCTGCATGGCCTTCCCTGCCCCTCTGCTCGGGTTCCTGGGGGAAGGGGGGGGTCTGACCAGGTTCCCTGGGCTGGTGCGCAGGGGGTGCGTCCTGGAGCTCAGCTCCTGCGAGGTGCACGTTTGCCGAGACTCCCCCTTCTCCCCCAAACCCCCCAGACACACCCTGAGCGTCCGGACCGCAGAGCAGGGCCACCCCGTGGACTGCGTGTGTCTGCATGGTGCCTCGCGGCTCTGCCCCGGGTTTGTTTAGGTCCCGGCCGTCCCCGAGGTCTCAGCAGAGCCATTCTGGACGGAGAACCAAAAATAACTCCGGCTCGGGCAGGGTGGACTCCAGGCCAGGCCCTGCTGCTGCCAGCCGCGGGGAGAGCGGGACTCCGGGGCAGCTGGGCCTGTCCCTGCCCGCTACCTTCTGCGGCTTCAGAGGGCGGCACCGGCCCGAGCCGGGAGACCTCGGGGGAGGGAGGGGCGGGGGCGCCCAGCCCAGAGAGCCACCTGGACCTGTGACCGGTCCCCCGAATCGGCCGGCTCCCCTTCCGTGCGGCCACAGGCCGGGGGCCCACGGCTGCACTCACGGCGGTGACTGCGGTGTGGCCTCCGCTGAGTGCGCCCCCGTGTCCGGCTCGCTGCCCGATGCTCTCCGTCGCCTACTGCCACCCCCCGGGTGGGTGCCTCGCTGTAGACCAGGGACGAGGACAGCGGTCTCTGTGCCACACACTCTGCCTCCCGCCCCCTCTGCCGGGACAGACGGTGAAGCAAGAGACGGTCGAGGACTTTCCGAGAGCGGAATGACGTCATCTCGGAGCACCTGCGCGATGATGCGTCATCCACTCCTTCACTCACTCATTCATTCATTCATTCATTCGCTCCCCCGTCCGCTCCGGGCCACTCCCAGGCTGAGTCTCAGGGGACAGGTGACCTCGACGAGCTTCTTGCCTGTGGCACTACGGCCCCGTCACTCCTGTGCGGCCCCAGGACACGTGCGGCCGCTCGCACGGGTCCGCGAGGACGGAAGGTAGGGTTCGGAAGGGAGAGGTCCCTGCAGAGCCGCCAGCCTGAGCCCAGCCCCGAGAGAGAACAGGGAGGGGGTGGCGCCGCAGGTGGAGGGACAGCTGAGCAAGGGTGTGGGGCAGCGGGAGGGCCCGTGGCCCGGCCTCTGTGCAGAGCTGGGGCGCCGACCCGCCCGTTCACCCTCGGGGGGTGATGCAGAAGACAGAGGCCGGCCCCCCCCACATCTCCTTCGGCCAGGCCTGGAGGAGGGGAGGGCGGTTCAGACAGCACAGGTCCCCAGGGCACCCTCTTAGGACTCAAGAGCACGCTGCCCCGGAGGCCGGCTGAGAGCGGCTGCGTACGCAGGCCGGCGTCAGGCGGGACAAGAGGGGCTTTGCCCGGTGTGGCGGCTGCCCAGGACCGAGAGGCGCGGCCTGGGGGGCCCACGGCCCCGGGAAGGGCTGGGGCTCAGGCAGGAGGGCCGGTGTCCAGCTTCGGCAGCACCTGTGTGACAGGGCGGCGCCCAGAACGTGCCGCCCCGCCTCCAGCCTCCGCCGGTGAGCTGGGAGGGCCCTGAGGTCACCTCCAAGGTGCCCTGCCTCCCTGATCTGTCCCTGCCTTTGAGCCCCGGCTCTCTGGCCTCTGGGCGTCTCGTCCAGGCAGAGCGGCCACGCTCACCCTCTGGGAAACTCTCACAGGCTGTGGGGGCCACCAGCCCTCCTGGGGTCGGCTCTGCCCGAGAGAGGGGGGCAGCGTGGGCGCTGCGGGGGAGCACCCTGCCCTTGCTCTGCGGACCGAACGGCGGCTCACGGCGCCCTGCATGGAGTCTCACTACCTGACCACTGGGTGCCCAGTATGGGGGGAGGAGAGGAGGTGGGGGGCGGCCGCCCCTTCCTCCCCCGCTGCTCTGGCCTCAGGAGCTTCTCGGGCCCTCGGCTCTAGGGCGTCGCCAGGAGGAGCCGGGGCGTGAGCCGCCCCCTGGCGGTGACCCCAGACCAAGAGCGTGGAGGGCACCCTGCGTCCTCCAGGGTGGGCCGGCCGAGGGACTCACGGGTCTCCTGCGCTCTGGCTCTCTTCCAGCCTGCGGCAAGCTGACCGGCATAAGCGACCCCGTGACCATCAAGACCTCCGGCTCGAGGTTCGGGTCCTGGATGACGGACCCCCTGGCCCCAGAAGGCGATAACAGGGTAAGTGCCCCTCCGCCGGGGCTGGGCCTGGGCCTGGGGGTCGTCGTAATGAGCGTGCCCTTGTCGGACCAGGTGGTCTCCATCCCCGGGGGTCTGGCTCTCACGCCGGCGCCAGCGTGCCCACCCGCCCGGCGTAGCACTCCCGGGGCGTGGCAGAGTGTGGCGCCCTGGCGGGCTGTCACAGACCAAGGGGCCGGACGTGAGGGTGACGGTGGCCGAGGAGGGAGCAGCAGACCCCGGGGGGCCTCCCCAGGCCGCGTCCCTCGGGCCGGGTGGACGCCCTGCATCTGAACCCTCTCTGCTGGCTGTCCTGTCCGTCCGGAGCCTCTGCCCCGGGGGGGAGGGGGGCGCGGGCATCGATTAGGCCTTTGCTGCTCTAACGACGCGTCGTTTGCATCTCGTTCGCCGTTCCTCTCAGTTCCTCTCATGCCAAGGGAAACTCCTGTCCCTTTTGATTTAGGAAAGAGGCCGAGTTGTTTTATTTTTTTCCTGGACTTTTCCCACTGGGGTAAAAACTGGAAACAGAGAAAGAAGCAAGCGCCACACTTATCTTGGTCGGGGGCCCCTCTGGGACGTGGGGAGCCGGGGCCAGCGGGCTGAGAGCTGGGCCGCCACCAGGCGCTACCACGGCCTCAGCTCGGAGCTTCCTGTGGAGGGGGGATCCGCCCGCGTTCTCGGCGGAGGAGGGAAGCCCCGCGAGTTCTGCTGTCCCTTCCTGTCCACCAGCCGGACCGTTGTCACCCACACCCAGCAGTGGGGAGCCCCGTTCCTTCCTTCAGTGGCCTGGGGGACACGTAGAAAGCCAGCACTCGGTGGGGGGGGGGAGAACGGCACCAGACCCTCTGAGACCCTCCGAGCCGCTCTGGAGTGCCGGCCCCTCGCTGCAGAGTCTCCGCCCAACATTCCTCCTCGGGGGGCACCAGGCACGGCCTCCTGTCCGTGAAATGGGGCGTGGCCCCTGCCCTTCCGGCACCCGCCCTCCTTCTGGGAAGGACAGATGTGAGGACGGGACTGTGGGCTCCTGGGAACCTCCAGGGGCAGGAGAGCCCGGTGTGCCCCGCGCGGGGAGCCGTGTCTTGCTGGACTCTCCCCCCGGTGTCTGCCGGAGGAGGGGTCCGGAGGGCTGGCCGCATCTGCACACCCCGGGCACGGCGGGGTCCCAGCACGGCGGGGGAAGGTGGTTCTCCTTTCCCCTCCTGCATGGTGGCCGCCAGCTGGGGCCCCCAAGTTTCTCACAGTTTCATTGGCTGGTGGCCCACGTCCCACCCAGAAAATCCAGCCTCTGTCCGGGAGTGGCTAGTCAGGAGGGGTCACGGGACTTGCCCACGGTCTGGGGAAAGCCAGCAGGGGCTTCCCTAACACCCGTCCACAGCGGGCTGAGTCTCCCGATACGCCCCCCCACCCCGCAACCACCCTCTGCCCGCCGCTCCGCGCGCAGCCCACCGGCCCGGGTGGGGGCCTGGCGCCAGGATGGCCGGGGGCCTGGCGCCAGGATGGCCTGGCGCCAGAGTGAATGACCTTGGTGCCCAGGGACGGGCCCCACGCCTGGCACCGCAAGCAGGCCCCTGGGCCCGGCTGCTGGCACCGGAGAGCGTGCGCTCATTATCAGTGCCGAGGCGCGGGGGGCCGGGGGGGTGGGGGAGCCCACGGTTCCCCTCCCCGGCACAGCAAGGGTGCCGATGTGTGACGCTCTTGGGGCGGTGATGGACGCGCCCGGTAATTAGACATCTGCTCTCTGCCTGATGGCTTGCCCGCCCTCCAGGAAGGCGGCCCTGGCGAGGGGCAGCGGAGGAGGGGCGGGGGGGGGTGGGGAGAGTGTGGCTGGCCGGGGTGTGGGGGTGGGGGCCTGCTCGGGGTGGGGGTGGGGGCGGGGAGGCAGTCCGAAAGCCGGGCGCCAGCTCCCAGCCAGCCAAGTGGCGTGTCCCCGGGTGCTGCCCGGGCCCTGGACGAGACTGCTGTGTTTGGATGGATGCTTTCCCTTCCCCATCCAGGTCTGACGACACACTCGCAGGAGACCAATAACGTGCTCCAAAGAAACAGAAGAAAATCAATGCCTGGTCCGTGCGGGCTGGCACAGAGGGGCAGGGGGGCGGGGAGGGGGCGTGGCCAGCGGCCGAGGGCTGCCCAGGCGCCCTGGTCGGGGCCCAGCTAAGCTGTGGCAGCTGCGGAAGAGCCCGCCTGGCTGCCAGGCATGGGCCGGCGGACCAGCCTCCCTCGGCACCCCCGGGGGGTGGGGGCTGGGGACGGGAGCCCCTGAGCGGTCACTGACAGGGAGACCCGCTGCATTTCTGCGCTGGGCTGCGCCCCGAGCGGGGCCCCAGTAGGGACACGGGAGCAGGGACTGGCCTCGAGTTCTCACTGGTCAGCCACAGCGGTGGTGTCCAGCTTGGCTTGTGCATTACGGTCCGTCAGTAGGATCTTAAAAACCTCGGTACCAAGGCCGCAACTCCAGCCAGTCAACTCAGTGGGGCGGGGCGAGGACCGCACCCCGGGCTGTTTGGGCCCCCGGGGGAAACAGACAGAGCCCAGGACACCTGCGGAGGACCGAGCGCGGTCCAGCCCGGGGTGAGCGGCCGAGGCCCCGCCAGAGCGTCCAGCCCCACACCTGGGAGCTTCCCCCGAACCCCGGTGCCCGGCTCACACCTGGGGACTGGACTGTTCTGTGTGGCGTGGTTCTGGGCGAGGCCGGCAGCAGGGACGCACCTGGAGGTGACAGGTGGGGGCTTGGCCAGGAGGGGAAGAGGGAGGAGGAGGAGGCCGGGGTGCCCACACTCCGGGACGGGAGCCCCGATCACGAGGCCCCTCTGCTCTGCTCAGTGGCTGCTCATCGGGGACCTGGGGCCCCCCCGGCCGAGCGCTGGCTGTCAGACATGGCTTTCCCTGCTCCCCGAAAACTGCAGTCTCAAGATAAGGCGGTCTAAAAACCCTTGGTCATTTGATGCCGATTGCACCGGGTCCCGTACGCAGGAAGGAGGCGCTGCTGGGCCTGGGTGCGGGGACACTTCGGACCCCGCCCGGCTGCCAGGGGCCCTGTCGTGGGCGGGGGTGGGGGCAGGAGTTCGCACACGGCCACCGAGTGCTCACCTCGCCGAGACAGGGGACGGTGTGGGGGGTCAGGAGGGGGTTCGGGGGCGTCCTTGAACTGTCTTCAAAGAAGCAGTGAGCTCCCCGTCTCGGGAGGCAACCAGGAGGAGGCAGGAGGGCCTGTTCCGGGTGGCGAGGTCTGGGGCACACCGCCCCTCGCGCAGCCCGGCGCTGCCCTCACCCTTATCCGAGACCTCGTCGCCGAGGCCGAAAATATACGAAAAGCCTCAAATAGGACCCAGTTATTTTTTTAATCTCATGAAAAACAAAAAGCACATCTGAATGGATGTCTCAGGAACACGGTTCTGATTTCCAAAAATTGTGAACAGCTGCATAACGCCGCGTCTGGAAGCTGCCGCGCCCAGCCTCCCCGGCAGCGGGGGGCAGTGGAGGGGGACCCGGGGTGGGGGCCACACACGGGGTGCTGCCCCCAGCGCCCCCAGCTCCCAGCGCGGCCTTCTCCTGGCTCCCACACTGAGAGTGGCTGAAGCGTTTTGTAGAAAGCGTGGACAGTTCTGAGGCGGTCGGCGTCTAAGCGACAGTGGGAAACCTCTTCCTTTGTCACCCCAAACGGGGGTGGCTCCTGGGGTCGGGGTGCTGGTGGGTTCTGGCAGCCGGGGCCTCCGGAAGCTCGTACTGCTGTCGGGGAGGCCGTCTCCCCTCCGCCCCCCAAATGACAGAGCGAAGGTCCTCCCCTCTGCGTCCCCAAGGCCGGCTGCTGCCCCAGACGGCCTGCCGGCCGGAGAGCGTGGGAGGGCGCCCCTGCCGGCGACCTCCATCCCGGGTCGGCGCCGAGATGCCCGGGGCCTTCGCCGGGTCAGGCGGCCGTGCCCTTTCCCACGCCGCCTTGCTGGCCTGGGCTCCGTACCTGAGGGAGCTCCTCTCCTCCCCAAGTGAGTGTGAGCCCCCACTGCGCGCCCGGGGCCGGGGCGAGAGCAGTGAACACGCAGGTGAGCCCGCAGCCCCGCAGCCCGGGGGCTCCTGGCAGAGGGCTGGCCCTGGTCTTCCTCGCAACCCGCGGGAGACTCGGGTGCCCCCTCCCCTGGCCGGCCCCCAGACCGGCCGCCCCTCCGTCTGGAGTGTGGGGAGGAGGACGCAGTGTCGTTTTGCTGTGCTCACCGCCCCCCCCGCCCCCCCCGGTCCCTCAGCACCTCCGGACGCCGCCCCCGGCGGGCCGCTCACCGTCTGCTCTGCCCGCAGGTCTGGTACATGGACGGCTACCACAACAACCGCCGTGCGCGAGTACCGCTCCATGGCCGACTTCATGGCCACGGACAACTTCACGTCCCACCGCCTGCCGCACCCCTGGTCCGGCACGGGCCAGGTGGTCTACAACGGCTCCATCTACTTCAACAAGTTCCAGAGCCACATTGTGATCCGGTTCGACCTCCGGTCGGAGAGCATCCTCAAGATGCGCAGCCTGGACTACGCCGGCTACAACAACATGTACCACTACGCCTGGGGCGGCCACTCGGACATCGACCTCATGGTGGACGAGAACGGGCTGTGGGCCGTCTACGCCACCAACCAGAACGCCGGCAACATCGTGGTCAGCAAGCTGGACCCCGTGTCCCTGCAGGTGCTGCGGACCTGGAACACCAGCTACCCCAAGCGCAGCGCCGGCGAGGCCTTCATCATCTGCGGGACGCTCTACGTCACCAACGGCTACTCGGGCGGCACCAAGGTGCACTACGCCTACCAGACCAACGCCTCCACCTACGAGTACATCGACATCCCCTTCCAGAACAAGTACTCGCACATCTCCATGCTGGACTACAACCCCAAGGACCGCGCCCTGTACGCCTGGAACAACGGCCACCAGGTGCTGTACAACGTCACCCTCTTCCACGTCATCCGGTCCGACGAGTTGTAGCCGCCCCCATCCCCGCCCCCCGCCCAGGAGCCCGGGAGCCGGCGGCGGTCCCGGCCTCGCCCCCCCCCCCACCGCGGGCGTCCCCGCCACTCAGCTGCCAAAATGACACTGACGATACCGACCGATCGCCCCGATCCTGGCGACGCGCCGGCGACGCGCGATGGCCTGACCTCCGTGTGTCCCCAGCGGGGGCCGGAGGGCGCCGGTTTTGGGAGGAGCCCCCGCCCCCAACTTTGCAGCTGGAACTGCAGCCCGGGGCTCCCGGCGCCCGCCGCCCCGGCCCCCTCTCTCGGTCAAGCCACGAACTAACGGAATCAGGCCAGGTCGGTCGGCCGGCTCTCGCCCGAGGACGCCCCCCACGCCGTGGGGCTCGCATGGAACCTTCCTTTAGAACGCGGCCAGCCGGCCGGCGGCGCGGAGAGGCGGGCCCGTCGCGTCCAGGGGCGCGTGCGCAGGCCCCGCCCGCCCGCGCCCCGCCCATCGCAGCCGCTGCCCCTCCCGCCGTGTGCCGTGTCTTAGATTACCGTGCTGAAACCCCCGTAGCCCGTGCCCCCGTGTCTAGTCCCGCGCGCGGCGGCGCCGCGTGCGCACGCGCCTGCCCGCCGCGCGTCGTGGTGTGCCGTGTGTCCCTGTCCCTTGAGGTGGTGGCCCGTGCGTCCGTCCGGTGTGTGCCGTGGGTGTCGTCATGCCTTGCCGTAGTTGGGGTCCGTAGGTGGGTGGTTCTTGTCGCGCAAAAGAAACCCCGTAAGCAGTGTTCGCCCTCGCAGAGAGATGCCCGAGCGCTCGCCGACGCCCCTCAGAGGGGCCGTTCCCTTCGTGTCCCGCGATTCGACCTCGTAGCCGCAGGCGAGAAGCGCCCCCACCCCCGCCCCGGGGCGGGGGGCCGGCTTCCGGCCGGAAGGGCATCAGTGTGCGGAAAGTACATTTTTTAAGTAAAACAGAGGGGAACTTTGTACTCTCCGGGTAGCTAAGGAACAATAAACATAATTAGGAGACGTTCTTGCGTCCCGCGTCATTTCTGAGGGTTCTTTAAAACGCTGGAGTTTTCGGGACCCTCCCGGACGGGGTCCAGAGTGTGAGGACCCTCCGAAGGGGACAGCGGTCCGGCCCTCGGGGAGTTGGCCCGGGACACTTCCCTCGGGGTCTCTGACCACCCATCCTCCAAAGTCAGAGCCTGGAGGTCCCCTCGGGCCCCTCTCCCGCTTTAGGGGGATCGGAGACAGGGCTCCACCCCCCGGGGGTCCCACGCTCCCCCCACGCCCGCTGACTCCGCCTGCCAGGCTGCCCGAGGTTGCAACTGGGAGGAGTCTGGGACCCGCCCCTGCTTTAGAGGTGGCAAGGGGAGACCAGCAGGGACCTCGATGAAGAGTGGGGGAGGGGGACCCCAGGCCCTCAGGCCCGTTCACTCACCAGGGGCTGAGGCGGGTACAGGAGGTGACGCTGGCCCCCCGCTCTGGGATCTGGGCCCCCAGGCCTTGGAGACAGAGGCCATAGGACACGCAAAGGGCCCACGTGCCGGCGACGCAGAGTTGGGCCCTGGGTCCCAGCAGGCAGGTCCTGCGGCTTCAGCGGGACAGACCGGGCCTCGGTGTCCCCAACCCTCCCGGGTTCCCCGGGGCTGTGTGTGCCTGTGGGAAAGGGACACTGGGTCTCCTTTCACAGGACAGCACGCAGGACCCGGCCTTGGCGGTCCGAGGTGTGGCGTGGCCACCCCTCCCCTCCGCCCGGGGCAGTGGCGTCAGGGTGCCAGGCAGGGACCCTGGCCCTGGGAGACGCCAGCAGTCCCCGGGAGCCGGGCCCGGCTGGCACTGCCCCCCGCCCAGTGAGCCAGCTGTCCCAGAGGGTCGGCGGGCCGGCCCCCGGGGGCGGCGGTCGGTGGCGCGAACATGGGGCAGCGCAGCCGACGTTCACAGCGTCCGTCCCAGCGGAGTCGGCCGGAGGGCGTCCGGGAGGCCAGGACGCGGCCCCTGTGCCCACGCGGAGGCTGGGGCCAGCTGGGGAGGGAGGCCACTGCGGGTGTGGGGGCCACGGCAGGCGCCCCAGTGACGGCCCTGGCCAGCAGTCAGGGGGTGCAGGATGAAAACCGGGTGCAGGCTCCCCGCCCCCGCCCCCACCCTGCCGGTCAAGGGCCGGACTACGGCAGGAAGTTTGTGGGTGCACCTCGCCCCCTAGGGTGTTAGGGTCACGTGGGTGTGTCCTAAGATCGCGGCCAGCTTCCCCGATGGAAAATGGGGTGGCCCTGAGCCACTGGGGGGAGGGGCAAGAGAGCTTTGGACACACTGGTCATCGTGGGACAGCAGGTCCCGACCGAGAGTTGGACCACTGGCCCACCCCCCCACCAGCCCTCTCTGCAACCCCCGGGGCCCTCATGCCCGGGCTCCATGGTCGGGGGGCGGAGGTGCAGGGCCGCCTCCCAGCCCCCTCCCACACCTGCCCTTCCCGCCTGCCCACGCCCTGTTGTGCCCCCCAACCCCCACACAGGCGTCCACTTCCGGAGCCCTGTGAGCCCCCCCACGGCACCCTCCCCACCGCCCTTCCGCCCCACCCCCGGTGCACACAGCCAAGCCCTCCCCCCAGGTGTCTCCTGCCCGTCTGCAGGGAGAAGCCACGCGTCTCTCTGTGTCCCTCCAAGTCCTCCTGCACCCCGCTTTCCTGCCTGCCCTGCCCCCTGGCATCTGAGACTCCCTCGCACCCACACACACTTCTGGGGTCCACCACGCCCAAGACCAAGGCACCTGAACATTTTCCTTGCTGTCTCGTCACTGCCGGTGAGGGTGGCGTCCAGGAGGGGAGGCCGGGGTTCAGGGGGGTCTCTGCCTCAGTGAGGCCTGCACCGGCTGGGCGCCCCTCCTCACGCCCCCGCAGGGCCAGCCTGTGGCGGAAACCCGTAGTCACGGGGCGGGGGCCTCTGCACCCTTTCCCGTCCACAACGTGTCTGGGACCGAGACGGTGCTTGGCGCCCTCCCCGTGAGAGCCGGCCGCCGAGAGCCTCACGGGGGCCCAGGTTTCGGCGACCACACAGCCCACGGAGCCACCGGCCGCTCCCGACACCACGGGGCCCCGCCCCGGCTCCATCGGCCGGACGTCGGGTAATTACCGCTGCAATTACGGGCCGATGTCTCGGCAATTTCCCCCGATGACAGACGGGAAAAACAACGCGTAGATACCTGTTCTGAGGCACCGGGAGACAGAGCAGGGGCCTGACGCATCCAGAACGGATTTACCGTCTGCGGCTGAGGCCGTGCGAGGGGAAGCGCTCCTCCAGGATATTAAACGCACAAGAAAAACGGCCCCGCCGGCGAGCGAATGAACCAGCCGGCCCGCCACTGCATCTCCCGGGTTCCAATAACAGAACGCATCGGCCGATGGCAGAGCATCTGCAGATGAATGTTCTTTATTGGACGTCGGCCCTGGAACCAGAATTCGGCCATTGTTCTGGGTGTTCGGGGGCCGGAGCTCGGGGCTCGTTCCGGTGCAGCCGGGCCTGGTGTTTTCCCAGTTTCCCCGGGGGCCCTGCTCCCGGAGGAAGCCCAGGACGCCGGTGCCCACCCAGGCGCCCACGGAATTCTCCCCCGGCTCCCGGAGGAGAGTCACGACGCCCTGGCGGAACTTCCAGAAGGCCCGTGGGAAGGCAGTGGCGCCCCAGACCCAGCTCCTCCGCCTGAGCGGGGCGGGGGCAGCCGCGTGGGTGGAAGGCTCGCCTCTGGGGTTCTCGGGGCGTCCAGGGCCGCCTCACAGGGAGAAGGGGACTGAGGGCCAGGGGCCGTCTCAGACAGCTGGACGCCCCGGGACTCGGGACGGGCCGTGTCATCCGCGGTGACGTGCAGCTTGGTTCCACTTGGAGGCTCCCGGTGGGAGCTCGTGCGTGGGTGGCCCTGAGAAGCAAGCGGCGTTAGTGCCACACCCCCCACCGTGTGTCCCTGTGACCGGACACGGCCTTGCAGGAAAGGCACCAGGCTCCGTGGCCTCAGGCAGGGATGCTTTCCCAGGGGAGCGGAGCACCCCGCCCACGAGGGAGGGGCCGTGTCCACAGGGGGGCACCCGCTGATGGGGTAACACATCGGACACCTACGGGTCCTCACAGGCCACCAAAGGCTGGGGGGTGCCTGGGCAGGGACTGAGCCCAGATTTTGGTCAAGGGTTTTCCCTCATGCCCCGGGAACAGGGACGCACCCCCCTGCACCGAGGCCAGAACAGGGTTTGGGAGGGAGCGAGACTTTTGCCTTCGGCCACTGTGTTGGGTCAGCAGAGGGGACCACAGTCTGGAGACCCTGCATCTCTGGAGAGCTCCCTGTTCTCAACGAAGTGGAAACCCCGAGACCCTTGGGACTCGCCCGGGCGAGGGTCCGTCCCCCGAGGCACCTTCAGGGGCCTCCCCGTCCCCGGGGCTGAGTCCTCTCCACCTCGGGGGGGCCCCCCAGGGAGACCAGGCGGCAGCCCTGAGCCCCCCCAGACCTTCCCACCCTCACAGCCCGTTGGCGGCCGGTGAGTCACCGGACGCTTATTCATCGCACAGCGGGCCGCGGAAGGTGCCAGAAGCGTGTGCCTGGCCAGGATCTGGGCTTGTCCTCCAGCCCCTGGGACCGGGGAGTCATGGGTGCCAGGTGGCGCGGAGCCGGGCAGCCGGGGGAGGCTGGGCCCCGGCCTCGGGAGGCCCAGCGCTGGGGCGACCTCTCCTCCGGGTGCCCTCCACCCCGCCACTCCACCACGTGTACACACGGTGCAAGCAATGCAACGACACACGTGGGCACACACCCACACGCCAGTACACCCGTGCACACACACACACACCCCAGCGGATCCAAGCCCCCACCCAGGGCGCCCTGGGGCTCCAGCCCCCTCCCTGCAAAACGAACGCTGTGCCCCCCCCCAGGGCCCGCATCCGGGGCCACTGCTCCCTTAAAGGCCTCGTCCCCCCGACCGCCCGGGACCCCCAGCCCCACCCAAACCCCGCGTCATCACAGTCGTGGGGTCGCAGCCGTGGGCTCCCTCCCGTCTCCACAGCACACACCCCGCCTGGGGCCTCGGCTCCCTCCCCTCCCCCGGCCTGAGGGAGGGGTGCTGGGGGCACT